ATGGTAGGCTTAATTACTTTTGCTATGGAAATCTTTCTTGCAGACAAGATTGTGAGTTGCAAGCATGCTCCAACTAATTGTAGTAGCTTTGCTCTCCAGCTGCCCCAAGCTGACTTGAGAAGCATTAGTAGTAAAACAGATCTGTGGATGCAGTGATGACTAGTGGGCAGCTAATTATTTATTAAGCGTATTAAGCAATAATGCTGAGGAACGTCTGTCACAGATTAGAGCCTGTTGTATTTAAACCTTTGTAAACATGGAATAAAGTGTATTTCTCTGCCCAAAAGAGGTTTTTCGTCAAATAATTTAGTCATGATTGCTGGTAGCTTTAAGATGCCTGTTGCTCTGTTGTCCTCTAGCCACAGCAGTGAACTACAGTGTTAGAGCAGAGGGGAGATCAGCTACATTCACTACAGGTTGTGAGTCAGAGCTCGGGAGAGGGAGGACAGCCTCAATTTTCAGGAGCTGACAGAGATGGTTTGTCAAACTGATGTTGTTAGTGCATTTGTTTTGAATTTGAGAGCGTTTTTATATGCTCCAACCAAAAGGGTTTGGGTTTGTTTTGGTTTTCTCTGTATAATCTGTAAAATATGCATGAAAAGAAGGAAAGTCTAATCTGAGTTTTGTTAGATGAATTATATGAAAAAAATCTGAGCTCAGTATAAAGACAAAGACTTCTGCTGCTTAAGAAGTAAGAATTAATATGAAGTGTGAAGCAAGTTGCAGTATTAAGCAGAATGAAGGATGCCAAATTACTTTGTCTCCTGTTTGCATGTACAAAATACTTAGAATACTCTGTATTTATCGTCCTGAACTTGCAGTTTTAATTCCAGTTGAAAGCCATGTGTATAATATTAACACTGAGCACTTTTAAATGATGTCTTTTGGGCTTTCCTGTTGCCTTATTGATATATGCATGTGGCTTCCATTACTTTCACCATGCATCTTCAGCAAAATCTCTCATATAGGTACCCAGGGCCTAATTAGAGTTTATATCTTTCAGTATGAGAGACACAGTTTTTCTGTGGGGGTGGGCAGGAAAGGAGGTTTGGTTTTGCTTTTTAAGCCATCTGGCAATTACTTTCTAAAGCTTGTGTTAGAACACCAGATGTATTAAAAAATTATTCATAAAAGCCACCTGCAAATTGTCTGCAGTTTCCCTTTTTCCTTTTCTTACCTTTGTGTGCCAGTCATGGGTGCGAAAGGAGTCTGCAGGGTTCTTCTCTTCATTCTCCTGAAAGATAAATGTGAAGATGGAGGATTTTGCTAGTTGTATTGTGCATAATCATCTGCATTTTGTTTGTTTTTATTTAAACATTCTCTATATAACTTTAACTCACTTGGATCTTAGATCAAAAGCCAGATTAGCACTATGGCAAATTGATTCTGATTTGTCACTTGTTTAGACTTTCTACAGTCTGCAGAAGATAATGTATTTTCTCCTGCTTTCTCTTTTTGTGTATTTTCTGTGGTTTGTGATGTCTGCTGTTTTCCTTCCCTCTTTGCAGGTTGAGTGTGTTACTTGCTGTAGTTTTTACTATGTTGACTGGAGGGAAAACAAGGTGTTCCTTGCTTTCTAAGCAGAAGTTTACATAAATGTAGTTATGTTTCTGAATGAACAAGGGTTTATTCAGAAACTTTCAGAAATTTCGGGATGTTCAGATGTGGAAACACCTAAGACAGTTTTTGATCAGACTTAAATAAGATGAATACATTTTCCCATGAAAATTGTTTACATTTGTGATTTAAAGTCCTTTTCTTCATCAAAGATACTTCTCTTTTATGCTGTTTTCCCAAAAGCTACATGGCAGTTTTTGCGGTTGGGGTTAAAAGGGATAATTGTTTCTGGTAGATTGATGTTATGAAGTCATACCACATTTTTCATTGCTATTTGTTTGCCTTGGTGTCCTTAATCAAAGTGGGCCTTTTCTGTTTTATGTTTATGGGTTGTGAACTTTGCAGTCTCAAAATTATAGATCTTATAAAATATTATCGTGCACACCACCACAAATGTGTTCTGCATTGTGTTATTACTTGATAATGAAAATGATGTCTTAACCTTATTTCCTTTAGCTTTCCCCATTATTCACATTCTTACCCAGCAAGCATTTTTGTAACTTCTCTGAATATTCTGAATATTTGCACTGTCTTTAATTTTTTTGAGCGGGGTCTCTGCCAAACAAAATTGGTTGAAAGTCAGCAAATTCATCAGAGAAATCCTGTGTGGTAAACATCGACTTCAGGAACCGAATTAAATTTCTGCTTGTTCAAAATATATGAACACTTGCAAAACTTTGAGGAAAAACTTGTTTGTGATTTAAGAACAGAGACAGAACTATTGAGGGCAGTATAGCCTTTAGGTATGTTTAGAGAATCGCTGATGTGGTCTTAGTTCCTCCCATCCTTGGCTTTGTCATTCTGCAGGTGGACTGTGCAGTCTGTGTCTTGATTTTGGCAGACAGTTTTGTGGAGTTTCCGGTGTACACGTTTCCTAATGTAGTGTAAGTTTGCTCTTGCTGATTTAATGTTATCAAAACTATTTTAGGCTGTTGACTGCTGCCTTATTGTTGGCATGTGCCAACACTGTAACATATCCTGCTTGGAGATTAGTAATGCTGAAACAACAGTCTAATGAAAAGAGAGGTCCTTACACAGCAGGAGTAGGAACTTGCTAGTTCCTGTTGAAATGAGAACACAAGTTCAACAAATTCTTCCCCCTCCCTGGGCAGAAGGAGCTGACTTATCAATGAAGGGCACTGTACACAGGCTAATGTGCAGCTTTGTTCCATTGAAGACTGATGTTCCATTGAAGGTTTTTTTTTCCCTTTCCTTGCCAATTGACAGTGTCAAGGAAATACTTCATGATACAAGGGCAAACTTAATTCTTTCTTGTTCATGAGACAACAATCATAGCAAAATATATTTTGGACCGTATCTGTTATTGTTCTTTCTGTCTTCCTGTTCTTTCTCTGCCTCATTCTTTATGTCTAGCTTGAGATACTGGAAAGAATATCATATATGCGCTAGTGACTGTTCATCCTTGCAACTGCTGTAAAGTAGCTTGAGTTAGTTTTGATTGATAACACATTGCTGCTACAGGTTTTTGTTGTTTTTTCTATTCCTGCTGTAGTTGCTGGTGTTGATTCTCTGATAAAGGGAGAGAGAAAAGTTGGAATTTATCACTAAGTTCATGCCTGTCCATCAAATTAAGACCATAGTAGATTAAGTATTGCAGTGATAGGAAACTCTGTAGAGGACTGGATTAGATTGCACCTCTCTCCCTGTATGTGTGAGTACAGTAAATGTGTATTGACAGACACCTTCTAACCAAGCTTAACTTTATTAACACCAGGGAAAATCTAGTTTCTTCTGTAGCTTTGAATTATTTTTTTATGCTGTGTTATATGACTAAAATTTAACAACATTTTTTCCACACTTTAATCAACCTAGGAAGGGTTGATCACATCCTGGTTAGGACAGAATGAAACACAAACAGTACTATTGTAAATGACAGAAATAATTGTATAGGCTTTTTGCCTTTTTGTGGGTAGCATTTTGTAGGTCCAGCTCAGCTTTCTTGCTTGAGTCCTCTCTAGCTGACTGAAGCAGTATTTACATGTGTGAGTTCCATGCTGGGGTAGTGAGAGGACCTTCAAAATGGCATGGTTAGCATTGTCATTCTGTACTTGATCTGAAAAACACCTCTGACCAGGATGAGAAGTCTTGCAGCTGAGTGGGATTATAATTTTTAACTATGCAAACAGCAACAGTGAAATTGGGTTTGTTAACAGGCTGATCCTGTTTCTGGAATCACGCTGGTGTGATTAAAACTGGAGTTGCAGAAAAGCTTGAGTAGCTTCACATTGGTTTTCCTCACAGTATTCCTCCTGTTTGACCTCTAAGAGATAATATAAATAAAAAGAAACCTCTTTCACACATACCATGCTCTTGCCAGGAAAAGGGAATGATCAAATCGTCATCTAGAACAAACTCCAGTGATGCAACAGTTGTTGGTTCTTTCCTTGGTGTTTGCACTGAGTGTGTGGCTTGGTGTTTATAATTGAAGGCAAGGTCTCCAACTTAATTCCTTCTGTACTCAATGGCTGGTTAGTGGGATTACACTGATGCTAAGTAGGAAGGACTGCAGTGATCCAGGTGCTCCCACTGTCCTGATGTAGCTCACCAATGGGCATGAAAACTATGCTCTTTTCTGACAACATTTGCAAAGTTGTTGCTCAATCAGTAGAAGTTGTAGGAAATAACATATAAGTAACATTGACTCCTCATGATATCGGATTTATGATTTGAGAGGAATTAAAGGTATCAGTTGTAAGCTAGCAGCCAGATGGCTTGGCAGTAGCCATAATATGTTAACATGAATGCTAGGATCAAAAAGGAGTGCTTTGGGATTTTTCGCCTCTTTGCTTATCTCACAGTTCCTGTGCATATTAGATGTCTCTACAAGATTTCCAGAGTATTCTGAAATCCCCAAATCAACTCATCTTTGTTACCAGTAGAGTTACATTGCAGATTATAATACCCCATTGAGAATTAAGAAAACCGGATGCAGGTTCACAGGAAGAGTTTCTTGGACCAACTCCTAAATTTAGCATTGGAAGATGTTAACTGACCTTGACATAACTGGTGCTGCATAACCGCTTTAAAGCTGAAGTAATGTCTGTTCGTAAGACAGGCTGAAGCCGTATCTCTGTTGGTTTTGTCTTGTGTTTAGTGTCCTGCCTGTTGCTTGCTATAGCTCTTTATATACTGTGATTTATAGAGTGCTTCTTTTAAACAAGCAAATAATTTCTTTCTATCACAGACCATAAAAGCTTAATACTGGTTTGGGACTGTTACAACAGTAGATAATACAGTCATGTCATTTGTAATGCTCCTTCATGGCATTTTGCACAGCAGTTAGGCGATACCCATGAAATTGTAGGATGTTTAACTGTGTCACTATTGACATTACCTGCTGGAACTCTTCAGAAGTAGGCATTTCTTACGATGTTTAATAAATGTATAATAATGTTTTGTATTGTAAAATATAGTCTTTTGACTCTGTAGAGACTTAAAGAAAAGGATTATTAGTTTTGTTTCCTCTTTGCAGATGGAGGCATCAAATTATACCAACCCAGAAGAATACCCCACTGAAATTCATGATTATCTTGCATCATTTGAACAATGTCTCGGTTCTGTAGAAGAGATGCTGAAAGCAATGATGTTGGTTTCTAGGAGTGACCTCCAAAAGGTAGGTAATGTTGCTTTTGACAACCTTTTTGTTACTAATACAAGAATATCTGGAAACCCCAACTGAAATAAAAGGGTCTGTTAGGCCTGGCCACTGCACAGACATATATAAATATGACACTTTCTATGCTTGATACCCAGTATTTGAAAATCTTACATTTCTAAGATACCCAGACTATCTTACAAACTAAACAGTGAAAACCATGCTTTTCCAAGCTGAAAAGCGATGATTTTACCAGCGAGTCATTTAAGTAGAGGATATTCTAGCTTATTCCTGACCTTCCTTAAAGTGCATGCTGAGTGCTCTTTCATAATGGAGAGGTTCACACTTTTTTCTGAGACGTTTTCAACAACAAACTTAATGGAACTTTGTATATGCAGTAGGATATAAAGGTGAATTGACAGCAGTGAGAATTGATCTGATTCTGGAAGTCTAGACTTGCAGAACCTGGTGCTTAAAAAACAGCTGTCTCCTCTAGCCGTGTTATAAGCCTGAGTCTGTAAAATGTATTTTTTGCTCAGGGCATAAAGACAGAGCAAGGTACAGACCAAAGACTTCATACAAGCTTCTCTATCTTATAACATTTAAAGCCTAATATGTAATTTCTTTCTCTAGGGCAAGAAAAAGCTAGCACATGAGGGAACTTCTTTATCCTCTGAGGATTTCTAACACAAATAAATCATGAAGAAAACAGTCTTGACAACACTGATCTTTTGACAGTATCCATGTTAGAAGTAGTGAGCCGTACAATGATGTTATCAGAGGTTCTGGAAATCCTATAGGACTAAAATCATAAATTGACTTTGACAGTCGAGGAAAAAAACCCCCTCATTACCTTTATTCTTCCTTTGCTTTACAGCCCCAAGTATTCCAGCATGCGTTGAACACAGTCTACCATGTGTAGTGTTAATGTTCATTGACTGTAGTCACATTTGGGCTTCAGCAGTCTTAAGACTTTTTTTTTCCTTCCATTGATAGTAACAACTATTTTGAGTTAAGTTTTTGTGGACAAACAGGAACTTATTTCTGACTATGGGAACAGTAGTCTAAGAGCTATATGCCAACAGATATTTGTGCTTTTGGCCGCTTGGGACTGTGGCATCAGACTGGGAAAATTACTTGAGTATTTGGAGAGAATGGTTCTGTGATGGCACAGAAATAGGCATAACGTGGTCTTAGTGAACCTATGGTGCAAAAATACCTCATTCAGTGTGTATTTCTTTTATGAATACATTCACAAGTATAAAATGTGCAAATGTGTTGGGTTTGGTTTTGTTGTTTGTTTTTTTTTTTTCATTCTAGTTAGAGCCTCTGGAGCAAGCAAAGCTGGATTTGGTTTCAGTGTACACGTTAAACTCATTGTTCTGGGGTAAGTATGCGATAGGAGGAAAAAAGTATTTATGATGCCATTTGAACACCTTCTAAACAGCTGCAAACATTAAATAATCATATTTCATAGCAAAAAATTAGAAACCTTTAATTACCCCAAGGATCCAAATTATTGCCATTTGTAGAGTAAATGATGTTGAAACTCCAAATTGAAAATAGGAATTTGCAAAAGCTGACTTTGTACCTGCATGAAGGTGTTTGTTTTTTTCATAGCAACATTAACTATGTTAGATTTTTTTTAAATTTAGCTGCAATATTGATGATAATAGTTTGTCAGATACTTTACACCATTAACTCTTAATTGTTACTAATGGGTTTATGTGGAAATTAGTTTTCCTATGTGACTGATTTATGGGGTACTCAGTCATGACAGCCTTCAGATTTAAAAACTTCATGTTTTTTATCTTGTAGTATACTTAACTATCCAGGGAGTCAATCCAAAGGAACATCCAGTGAAACAAGAACTGGTAAGATTCTCACACTGCAAGCACTGCAATATCGTACTTGCTCAGGACAGTTAATTCATATAGAAGTAAAAAAAAATATTTATATCTATGGTTAAAATTGATGTTGCCATAATAGCACGCAAATGCTACATAGTTTTATATAACTGTTCATGTGCCCTGCTGCTCTGTCTAAATTAAGAAAGTCATATTTTTAGTTCCAAATGGTACTGTTTAAAGCAAAGTTGTAGAGTCTGCTGAAATTAGAACAAGAAGATAAATGATGTCATCTTTTCTTTTCTCCACCTTTCCTTGAGAATTGGATTCTGAACAGAACAGCTTTTCACTTGTATCTGCTAAATGGAAAAATGTTACATGTCTGATAATAATTTATAACTTCCAGTATGGCATTTTTTTCTTATAAATACTTGGAATCATGTTAATCTCTGAGGCTGTCTTTTCTTACTTTTGTATGACTCTGAAAGTGTAGTGTGGTTGATTTACTAGCGAAGACGGGAAAGAGTTCCCCCCCTCTTTCCAAGTCCTCCATTAATTCATTTTCTCAGCAGTAAAGAATTCAGTTCAGCAACAAAGCTAAAAGCTTTTTTGGCACCAGTTGTATGTGTATTGTCCAGTAATTCTGCATTAGTGACATATTTACAGCCTACAATAAATCTCTTAGGTTTGTCTTTATATTCCATTTAGATGCATGACTACAGTATAGAAGGCCGCTATCTTGAAAATTCTGCTGACTTAAAAAAATCAGGTCATTTAGCCTGAAGAAAAAACAGAAATCAAAACTTACAACTCCCCATTTTAATTCCTGTATAAATGAATATACTAAATCTGGGCAATCGTAAAATACTTAGCTTAAATATAATCCTTGCCTAGGCAGTGGAACAGAAGATGGGACTGAAAAATGCAGAAAGATAGCCTGAAAAATAAGAATACTTCTTTTTTTAATTAGGTGAGGTTTTCAGTAGCCTAGACTGTATCATATTAAAAAAATTGATCAGTTAATATTTCATGAGCTTTCAGTCAGTTTTTTGTTCCTCCTGTATTTCATAGTGTCTGAATATTGTGTTAATTTAGTGATACTAAAAAACAAATTCTGTCTATTTTGCTGTGGATATTTTATGCTGGTATTTTATTCACAGTTACCAGTCGTTTTAAGTCTGAAGAATGAGTGAATTACCACAGCCTAGATTCTTATCCGGTTGTTTTTTCCTTTTACAAGTATCAAGGTGAATGAATGCATGTTCTTTCCTTCCAAGAACATTGTGATGTTTTCATTCATGTGGAAAGGGAGTAAAAAAAAAAAAAAAAAGACTGTTCCGTGGTGATTGTTTTGTTTTTAGAATTGCTCTCCCTGTATACATACATGGAATACGCAGAGATTAAAACTATATTAATAAACTCACATTCAAGCTATCAGAGTTCATTTCTTTTGTCATGTTGACATTTGTCAGCTCCTTTTTCCCAGGTTGATACATGTAGGTTTGCCATCTGTTCTCATTACTCAGTCACCAAAGAAATACTACAGCTTATCATGATTTCAGACCCTGTAAAACCCTCCTCATTAAAGCTATGGTTTTGATATAGAAAGAGTGGCCAATTTTTTGACAACAGTTGCTTATAATGGTCATTTGAAGAACTGAAAATCAGTTCTGTCAGGTACGTCATGTAACTTGTTCCAGATTCAAGGAGCTGTCAATGGTTGTGTGAGAAATGTGTGAGTTGCATAGTATCAACATCTATTTAGTTAGCAGTACCCATAAATGTTCTGCTAATGCACATTTATAATTCAGCTATCGGGTAGAGTGCTATATATATATGTGTATGTATACGTTACTGTTGTTTGTATTACAGAATCACCTAGAGTTGAAGGCCATACTAAGCGAAATATGTACTCATGAAATATATCAACCAAACTTATGTATTTTATACAACTACTGTAAGCAGCCCCTCTAGTCAGTGAAGCAAGCACTTAACAGAGGATAATTCCCATGTTAGAGGTTCAGTTATGCAATTTCCTTTACTGACTGCAGAAGTGGATGAGGAAGAGTAGGTACATAAATGAGATTGTAAGCTGGGAGGGTATGCTTAGGTGGGGTGAATCCAAGTCATACTTTGTTCAAAAAATCCTTGGACACCAAATGACTGTGGGGAGGCTAAGATAGCAACAGAATATCCGCTTTATGGAATGGCAGTGGAAATAGGCATTATTATTATTATTATTATTATTATTATTATTATTATTAATGGTCATAAAAAGAAACTTCTGATACAGCTGGAAATGCATCAGGCTCCTTAAATAGGTTCACTCAAGCTCCCTTGACCATTTAAGGATCTTAACCACAAGAGTACAGTGTAGTTGCATATGTAATGCTTGTGACATCTTTGATTTTGAGTTAGATGCTTTGTGGCTTTGCTCGGACATGCTGAGGTTGTTTTTTTTATTAGAGAGTAGTCAGGCAGTATGATTTATATAATAACATTTCTGTAAGTATGTCAAATCTAAATACTATTTTGCCATCTTTATGTAGGCCAAATTCCAAATTGAGTTCAGTACTTCATTTTCTAGCTTTGCTTGCAAGAACAATTCTCATATCACTGTCAAATAGATGTAGTCTTCATCCCTGTAGGAGTTCATGTTCCTATGACAGTGAATGTCATGCAGATATTATTATAGTAGGTACCTGTGATGGAAAATCTGCCAAAGGAGAAGCCTCAAGTTTGCAAGAAGGCATTTGCAAAGAAAAGCCTTGTACATATATTTAAATTATTATATTTTTCTAGATATTACAGAATTGTAAAGTGTGGAGAGCTTCTACTCATTGATTTCATTTTCACAGCAATTTTGGGACAATGGTGTGAAATACTCTTTTCTTTTTTTTCTTCTCCTCCAGGAGAGAGTAAGAACATACATGAACAGGGTCAAAGAAATAGCAGAAAAGAAAAAGGCATCCAAACTTGATAAAGGAGCTGCTTCTAGATTTGTAAGAAATGCACTCTGGGAACCAAGCCCTGAAAATGAAAAGAAAAACAAAGGTCCTGGTAAAGGAAAAAAAAGAAAGATGGACTAAATTTTTGCCTCTGTATATAAATTAGAGATGCCTAGGAACTTACCTTGAAATGTATGCTGCATACTGCATGCACCTTGTGAAGGTGCTGTACAGCAACATCTTGCTTAAGTTATAGGTAAGAATTTTTATAGGATTGTATTTTGTTCAGAACACTTGTCACTCACGTGATCACATTGTATGTGTATCTAAAAGTGCCATTTGATGCAAGAGAGGTAACATTTCATTATTGAAATGACAATGACCTGGCATAGGCTTGCTGATAATACATACTAGTGATGTTTTTACTGTTGGATGATTAACACTTTTTTACATTTAAAATATTAAATTGAATATTAAAAAGTATCAACCAATGCTATCTAGTCTGTGGTGTTTATGAAGGAGCCATGTTTTCTTTCTCATTACATCATCACATCATTATGTGAAAGGCTGTATTTGTAGTTTTGTAAGGTTTATGCACTGTGTTAAACTGTTTCTTTTTCAGCTCCTGAACTTGAAGGTTTGCCATATTCCTTTACTTCCTGTTGCCTCTGAGAAAACTGAGTTTCAGGGGCCACAAGCAAACAGTCTGTATTCCACTTTAAGCCACAGTGTCTAGTCAGTGGAAAAGATATCCCCAAAGGGAAATTTTGGGGGTCCAGAAAAGGAGCAGGCTGGGGACAGCTATTAAAAAACAGCACATGCAGGAACTTGATTGAAATCTTGGCTGCAGTGCTCATCCTTCACTGCTGACACCATGAAAGACAGAAATATGCTCTGAGGTGGTAGGAGTGTGGTCATTCATTGCTATTTCTGAGATCTTCATCAGGGAAAGCACTCTGTGGTGCAGTAAATACTACTACGGTGTCTTACAAGTATTCTGTTATTTTCCTCAATAGGTAAAGTTTAGTCATTTAGGAGAGGAGGCGTGTTAAGTTTCTTCAGAAGAACCTTGGTTATTGATTTATTATTTGTTTTTTTCAGTATACTGTGAAGCAAAACTCAATGATCTGCCAAAAACTATTTAACAATTAGCAGCAACTCTCTACTTAGGAAAGGAAATACAGGAAAAGGAAGGAAAAAATAAGCAATTAATTCACCAAAATGTAGTTTCGGTAGGAGTCTGCAAAAGTGGTTGAGAATATTGTTAGTGTGAAAGACTAAATGACAAGAACAAATGAATCCAGTGTATCTATAGCTGAATGATGTACAGTGGATGGTTACTGTCATTATAGAGTTGTACTACATCATGCAGTGCAGAATACGGACTAAACTGAATCAGGTGCTAAAATGAAGCTTCTTTTGTCACTGACTACCTAAAAATATGCATTTGAAGGTAAAAGTTCAATACATTGACAAGTTTATTAAATTAAAATAATTGATGCATATCTCTTGAAACTTTTTTCAGTGACTGGCATGAATTCACTCATTTTCATTTATGATAAACTCTTTGAATAAATACCAGTTCTTTCAGTCCAACTAACAAGAATCTGATTATGTTCATGTACATATGGCACTTTTCTGCCTTAGAACTACAGCACTTGCTCATGTAAGTATGCATGTCAAAGACCAATACACATTTGCTAGCTGAAAGCTAAACTTAGAATGCTTTATTTCTACAGGTTAATGTCATGGTTATGCCAAATGAAAAAGCTGTTGGACTCAGGAGGCTTTTTTTATCTGCAATTATGATTAAAAATGCAAAAGACCTGAAGTGTGTTCTAGGCCAAGGATAGAAATACACACGTAAAGCAGTTCTTGGTGTGCTCCATAGGTTTGGACAGAGATTATTTGGAAGTCTGTGTGTCCTGTCGTGCACCTCTTTGATACTGAAAATGACAGCTATAGGTTGTATAGCAAAGGATAGAAGTGATCTGACAAAAGGATAGAAGTGAACTGAAGTGGCACAAGCCAGAGCACTTTAATATAGAATTTTCCTGGGAGATAGTGTCTTATGCTTTGAGAAGCATCATGAGGAAATGAGTAGCTCAGATTGTATTTACAGTGCTGTTAATAAAAAGGGGATTGAAGGACATTTCCATTACATGGTTTTCCTCTTAAGCTTCAATTACTACTTTTGTTTTAAAAGGATAATTTCTAAAAAGGATCATAATTCAGTGTCCAGTAAAGTACACAGGTTTCATAAGTAAATGTTTAAACAAGAATAATGCAAATCTATTAGCTAAGACTTACTGAGGTAGAAGTCTATCTGGTATAATTAATTATATACAGGTATTTGGCATTTGTCATAGAGCAGTTTAAATAGATGTAACAAATGCAACTTTGTAAAATTTTTATTTTTAAGGTTTGTATCTTTCAGTATGGCTGTTCACAGCCTGGGTTTGTGGCTTTGCTTTTCCAGAAAACCCAGACAATTGCCCCACAAACTAAGAAGTGTCACTGCCTGTTATTCACTAACAGCCCTATTAGAAAGAGGCTTGAAATAGAAGATCAAGAATGCTAAGTGTTTTTTATGCTAAGTATTCTTGGAACATCTAGACTGAGGTCTCCAATGTGAAATGACTGAACTTTGTTTATGGAAGTTCCTGCCTCAAAATAGGATGCTGACAAGAACATTTATTGCAGTATCTGTGTGCATTGAATCTATACAGGCCAGTTTATAGAATAGCTCTACAGAGCCTGAAAGGAAAGGAAAACATCTGGGAGACTTCTAGTCCCATTGGTGTAAGTGCTGAATATGGTTCAGAAGCATCAATTCTGTGTTAGTTAATGCCAATGTAATGCAAAGAGTTGCTATAATAGTAAGTTGTTAGTATCACTGAATTAAAGTATTAATGAATTCAGATAGTTAAAGAAAATAATAAAATGTGTATGACACCTCCCTGCTTTGTCTTGCTTTTACTATAAGTATTTTTATGGGCTAACTAATATTAGACATACCAGCTAAGAGGAGCACTAAAACTGCTGTTTCTAAGAATGTTTTTAACTAATCAGTAAGAAAATGATGTAAAACTCTAAAGTTATGGTAGAAATACACATGTAGTTGGAAGTCTGTGTGGCCTGTCTTGCACCTTGCTAATCAATGATGCTAAAATTTGAAGGTTTTGTGTTTAGGTTTTTAAGTTAGAGTGAAAATAGTTTCCATTTTGTTAAAGATTATAATGTGTTACCTGTTCCTGGAACTTTTCTTGCTTTTTGGTCTTTGCACCAAGAAAGTGATTAGGTCGGCAAGAGCACGTGAAGCTAGCAGCTATAACTAGAATCTGATATAAGGATGCATGAGGAATTTCCCAAGCTTACCAAAAGAATACTTCAGAAAGTAAGTGAAAACACAAGATTTTAAGCCCCAGTAGTGTAGAAGACCTGACAGATATTACTATGGCTGCAAACTAAAGAGGAATCTTACTAGAACTTAAATTCTTACAAATGGTAGCCATGAGTTGGGAAGTCAGCACATCACTGGTGCTCATTTCTACTCCTTAAGTATTTTTACTAATGGACAACTGCATCCTCAAAAGTGGATGTTTGATTAAGTCATCTTATTTTTTCCTGGCCTTGAAAATCAATAATAGCATGAAGCTTTGTCAAAAAGTATTAGTGCTGCAGATTTATTGGAAATCTTCTCAAAACATAGTAATCTAGAATGATAAAAGTTAAACTTAATTCTCACATAATTGAGGATTTTATTGGATTTAAGTAAATAGACCAAAAGTAACTTTTTAACTGTGGGGTTAGGTCCATTACAAATGTAAAGGGAAATCCTAGCTTCCATAGTAAATGACATACTTTGCCCAGGGATTGATGAAGACCTGGTTCTTCGGCCCCAGAAGAGACCTTGGTTACTTAGATTAAGGCTTCTATCAGCTGTTGGTCACAGGAAAGCTTTTGAGAGTTGTGAACAGCAAATTCCAGTCTATAACTGGAAACACTTATTGGTGTGACATTCTATGGCATAGGGTTCCTTCTGGCAAGATCTCACTGAACTTTTAACTCTATTCATGCAGTTTCTCATCTACTGCTAGTAACTGCAAAACCCCTTATACCTAGAAGGACGCAACTTTCCTGTTTGACACTGCTACAAGCTGGGATATGTGAAACATTAACCCTAAAAAAACCTGAAATGACTTGATTGGAATGTCATTCCTTTCTTCTTTCAGACATGGCTGGCTAGTAATGTATAGCTGCTTTAGAGAGTTAAAGTGTAAGGAAACAACAGCGAACTATTGATGCAAATCGTAAACTGGACCAAGAAGTAACTTCAGCTAAACAGTGACATGCAAATCAGTATGTAATTGGAAAATAAAGAGACTTTGCAGAATGTTCTTCAAGAGTAAGTGTGATGCACTTCAAGCCAAAGAAACCTTCCAGCTTAGAGGGCCAAACTAACTGGGCTGCATCCCAAATGTGGGCAGGTTATGCGTTTGTCATAAACTGATATGTAAAGATGTCAAAACAGGGCATTAGTTAAAAAGACTAAATTTATGTTTCTTAGAAGTTTACTTGCCAGTGATACAAAAAAGAAGTGTTAGGCTACAGCAATGTAGAGGACACAATCTAGAAAGTAAATAATGGAATTTTTCATTTTAGAATCATATGTGACATATTAGAAAAAAAAATGCAGTGAAGTTCTGCAGTGTGACAGTGTAATTTTTCTTTTTGATAATTTGCTTTAAGTGATATTCCTTGCAGAGAGTTCCAGAAAGTTCATGTGAATGCTCTTGTTTTGCAGACCATTCCTAACATCTCTAACATTAGGGCATTAGTGGTAGTTTGGGGTTTTTCTTCCTTCAATTTCTGCTTTTCAAGGTGATGTACTACTTGTAATATTTTACTGATAGAACTAACAGTTGGCCTTTTTGCTGACTTTTAACCTTCCCTGTAGGACAAGACTAAAGGTCTATGGAATACTTAGTGCTGGTAATCTAAGGAGCAGACCTTGAACTGCTTGGTTTTCATCAGCTGTACCAAAGGGAAAAGAGCAAAAGCTTGTTTTTACTACTAAGCTGAGTGAATATGGCGTGGAAATCTTGTAATGGCAAGGTATCAATTTTGTAAAGTGATATATTTCAGAGGGG